GCTTCTTGGGAGTCTAGGGCTTCTAAAGTGGCACAACCGGAATGGGAAGAAACACACCCTGAAGCCCTGGTGGGGGTAACTCTGCCCCTCCCAACTCCTATGGGCAGGGCTGGTGGCACCGTGGGAACATCCCACTTACCAGTGCACGACTCAGACAAGGGTCTAGCCCTCTGACCCAAAAGTTAGGACTGAGGGTTCAGGTACCCTGGATATCAGCCTGACTGAGTCAGAAGAGATTCCAAGACTGGAGAGGAAGAGGAGATGGTAGGAAGAAGAGGTATTGCCTCCCTAGGACTCAGACCCAGCTTCCCAAGAACAGAAACCCAAAGATGAGCCCCCTTGTCAGGGTGTGAACTGATCCCTAAGGGCATCCCTCATAGCTAAGTGTAGGAGTGAACAGGGAACACAGATAGAGGACTCGTCCAAAAGAAGATGATAGATAGGAGGAGGGACTGCTGGTTCCCGGAAATTAAGCAGGGGGACAGTACGGAGGAGGAGGGGTTATCTCAGTTGTGATGCTCCCCCACTGTGGGGGGGTCTGCCAACACCCCACCTCTGGTCTTTTGTCAGATTCCTTCCTGCTTCATGTAGGCGACTATATTTTTCTACTTGTCCAGCCCAAAGTTCCATTCTCAGCCAACTGGAGCTAAAGAAACTCAAGGCCATTTCCCTTCCCCTTCAACAAATATTTGCAAAGTGTCCACCACGCTCCTGACTCCAGGTATAGAGACATTACTTCTTCTCTTCAGCAATTTACAATCTGGTGGAAGAAGCACGTTTAGGGGTGTGAATGCAGGGAGCACACCTTAAGGGCTGTGATAGAGGTAGTTAACGGGACGCTATGGAAATATGCAAAATAAGTAAAACAAGGCAGCTAAATCCCAAGGGTTTGCAGGGTTCCACAGAAGACATCTGACACCAAACATTCCAGGACAAGAGAGGTGGTGTAGACAGACGATGGCATTGACCTAGAGAGATGAGTTGCTGAGATGGACTCTGAAGAAGCTAAGGAAAAACCCGTGCACTGGCACGGTGGGGAGTGAGGGGGCAGGGGATGGGGAACTTGAGAGGATCAACAGGGCTGGGAGGGAAGGAGGTGCTAGAAGGCACGCATCTCGAGGGAGGCGCAGAGACCTGAGGTCAAGACCGAAGGGAGGCGGAGGCGGGCGAGCGACACCGGGAGCCCTGGAAAGCCGTCTGTGGTGGCGGCAGAGGGGGGTGGACCCTACACGTGAGCTACGTGCAGCGCCGGCCACCGCCCCCTCCTCGGCAGTTGGGTAGCCGGACTTGCCTCCGTCAGCCCAGGGCCCGGACCCAGGGCAGTTGCATGGGAATCAGGCAGGGAGTGGCGACCAAGGAGGGAGAAAGCTTCACCCCCATCCCCCACCCCCCAGTTTGGAACCCAGGAGGAGCGTGAGTTCGCAGTGACCGGAAGGAACGCGGGGAGCGCCTCATCACCAGGCGGGTGGATCTAGGGGCGCAGTCTGCAGATTTAGGGGCTGAATGGTTGGTTGAAGATGAAGACACCTACGAATGTGTCCATCTGTATCTACAGAAATGGAAGTGGTCTAGGGGACTGAGGCCCGAGCTGGGGTGGAGTGTGGTCCAAGAGTAAGGAGGGGGTTCCTGGAGACGTGGCACTCAAGAGCCGGGCTTGGTTCCGCTCCGGCCACCCGGGCTGCAGCCCTCCTTTCTCTCAGGAACCTGAACCTGACCCCGCCCAGGCCTCCCTCCCATCCCTCTAGGAGCTTCAGCCTGGGCACCTCCAGTCCGGGGTTGCCCAGGTCCGGCCTCTGGGGCGTCCAGCCGGCCCTAGACGAGACAATGCGGCTCGGGTCCCGCCTCCGGAGACTGACGCGGCCCGGGCGACAGCCAATCACCGCGTGCAGCTAGGCTCTTTAAAAAAAGAAGAGCCGGCCGCCGTGTGGCTGTCAGCTGAACAGGGATCCCTCCGCCCATGTAAACACACATCATAAAGGGCAAGGGGAAGCGTCTTCCCGTGAGGCGGGGGGCGCTACTCCCTTCCCCGAGAGCCCTCTCAGTTCTTAGATTCCCTTCACTACGCTGGCAACCGCCAGCTCCTTTAACGTCTTGTCGGGTCCACTGGGGAGCCAAACAGCTGGTGCCTGATTTGGGAGTAATAGAATTTCATCACTTAGGGTCACCACCGGAAATGGAGGAAGGGAACCTTGAGAGTTGGGAGCCAGAGGGAGTCCTAGGACACAGCTGAGAATTGGGAAATATTTGATTAGACTCATTTTTGTGCATCTCAGTTAAATATTAGTCATAATTCGTATATGTGTAAAATTTTTTTTCACAAAGTTATATTGGCTTTTAGGATACTAACATTAATGGTGAAAATAGTTTTAAGGCTCTCCCCAAATAGAGCGCATAGCAGAAATCATCTCCCACTGCAAAGAGCGACAATAATGATTTTTCGCTCTAACATTTTGTTAGAAATTTTCAAATATTCAGCAAAGTTAAAAGAATTTTGCAGCAAATTCCTCCACTTAGATTCATTCATTAGCATTTTATAACTTGCCATACCACATATCTATCTTGCACTGATGACTTTCCTTAATAGGATGCTAGCTGTCCCCTTGGCGTGATTCTCCATTGCAGTGGGGAGCAGGAAAAGACAAATCCACGTGTCAAAGTCCTAGAGAGCTAAGGAAATGACTAACTTCTCCAAGGACCTCTGTGAACTCTTTCGGGAAGAACTTATTGAAGAGGTGGCTGTTTTTCTTTCTTTTTATTGAAGAACCCTAAGGATAAGTAAGCGACTTTCTTTCTTTTTTTCTTTCTTTTTTTTTGGTAAAGACAGTGTCTAACTTTGTCACCCTCGGTAGAGTGCCATGGCGTCACACAACTCACAGCAACCTCCAACTCCTGGGCTTAGGAGATTCTCTTGCCTCAGCCTCCTGAGTAGCTGGGACTACAG